TGGGAATGCATGATAAGAATACGCTCTTCCACAACCTTTCACGCTTCTGGCACCTGTAAAATGGGACCTCGTGGTGACCCAACTGCTGTCGTTGATCCCAAATTAAAGGTTTGCTTGAGAAAATGCATTACAGTATTCATATATAAATATTTATAAATATTGTAATATTTATATAAATATTGTGTAAGCAGTGTAACACTTGTTTGTTCAAATTCAACTTTTTGCAGGTGATTGGTATTTCAGGATTACGAGTAGTAGATGCATCCATCATGCCCGAAATAGTATCGGCACACACAAACATACCTGTTTATATGATTGCCGAAAAAGCAGCAGACATGATCAAAGAATATTGGGGAGACTTGGAGAAGTTGCAATAGTGATAAAGTATTTTTATTAGCATTTTACTATGCAGCAATGTTATAAACACAGAAATTCCATGTATTGTTTGTAATGTATTTTTTGAAAAGTAATTAATATTTAAGAATGAGTTGAGTCAAGTATTTGTTGATTTTATAAGTCCAAGAAATAAAAAAAATGCTTATAAAAGATAAAGTTTGAACAATTTAATAACATTAATTCTGACATGTTTACACGTTTTAAATTAATTTACTTAATTAAAAGAAACCGTAGAAGATAAGCAATATCTATAATAATGCAAATATTCCTAATAACTAAATTTTGTTTATTGTAATTTAGAAGAGATTGCGTGTTCCGATGATATAGACGAGGAGAATAAGAAAGTGATTGAAGAACATTTTATAGTTGTAAGCCAGATCCTGATTGATCAAATTTATCCCCTATAATACAGCTTTGACGTTGCGTGCATAGCTATATGTAACAGCTATGCACGCAAACGTCGAAGTATTATCAGACATTGTTAAGTAGGCTTGGCTAAATTATCCTACGTTTCGAAACTTGCGTAGACAGTTTCGTAATTGTGTCAAGAAATAGTTTATAATCGCTTATACCTTGAAAGAAAGTTTATTGCAACAAAATGTACAATAATAAATAATAACGAATACTTGATAAAGAGAGCACGAAAAAAAGAAACATATTACATTTTTTTAAGTAAAAAAATTTTACATTTTTTTTGTAGATTTTTTTATAATGTTCACGAATCGAATTACTTAATATCAAGATTCCATAATACGACCACAAAATATAGATAAACACAATTCGAGAACCAGCGTAAGAAAACAGATTTATATGTGTAACGATACCTGTTTGCATGACTGATACAAGGAACCGCGACAACTTAACAATTTCGAAATTGGTGACGAAATAACAAAGACTCAGATAAACTATGTCTAAGAAGATAAATATATTACTGTGGAGGGATGCAGGAGAAATTAGTTTGGGCTAATTAAAGGCGTCATTTGATTTGTCAGTCTAAAGAATAAAAATCTGTAAGTAAAGTGAAGAGTAAAATATTTTATTTAAATTATAACACAAAAGATTAATTGTTCCATTAATAAGATTAAATAAGAAAAAATCTTATTTTGATAAAAAAATAAGAAATAATAAGATTAAATTTAAAAACCTGAAAAAATCGTAGATTGAATCTTATTAACTTTGGGAAAATACAAAATGAGAAATTGTTGCAACTTTGTAATTACTTTCTAATTTGTTTTGCGTGGTGAATGAATAGCTTTATGTAAAACTGTTCTGTTAATTGTTTCTTACACGCACATGAATTGGCAATTCGTCAAAGCTTAATCAAAAAATATACAATAATTTTAAATATTTTTAAAGAGAAAGAATTTCATTCTTTCTTTCTCTGATGATATACTAACAGTTCTTTTAAAAGATTTATTGAAATCTATAAATTGATAACACTTGCCAATACAAAAAATTTATATCAGTAATTTAATTAGAATAGGTTTTTTATAGACTTAAGTCACAAAAAATGCCGCTAGCCAAATTGCTTCATCAAATCACAATTTTGAAAAATTTGCAATTAAATTACAATTACAAATAAAGATCTATTCTCTTATATTTATAACTAATAACTACGATATGTGACATAATGGAGAAGTTTCATTGCAATCAAAATTAAGTATGTTGTGAAGATTTTCAGCTTTTCAAAAGAATTTTTTGTCTCGGCTGTGATTAATAAGATATTTACAATTAAATTTGAGGTCGGTTTATTGTGAATAAACTGTGAATTAAATCACTGATAATTTATCAAATAGTTTTCAGTCAAATTATATTTATCAGTCAAATTATATTTATTTACATTCAAGGGTTTTTTGCTGAATCAACAAATCTAATGTCAAAAAACTAATAAACTCGAAATGATGAAATTAATATAACAAATAAAAATTAAATTATTTTTAAATTTAATAATAATTTGTATACTATATTAGGGTGGGCCGATAAAAATAAATCGATTTGTAATACCCCCCAAAAATTAGCTATGGATCTCAGTACGGTCTGGGTAAAATTTCGTTGAAATCGATTAATACGTTCAGCTAGTCCCTCGACTTTGAAATTAGTAAGTTTATGCATTTTTTTGCAAATTACATTTTTGTTTGTTCTGGGCTGTACTTTTGATAAGATAATATACTATGTATTATATGTTATTATGTATAGTGTCATATAATAACGTCAATGCAAAGGACTTTTAATTATGATTATAGGTTGCATGGTTGCACAATGAGGTTTTTAAAAGCATTTTTATGTTTATGGCGTCGAAAAAAAGGTATAAATGGCAAGCATCTGTTCGTCGCACTCGCATTTGTAATAAGTATACATTATTTACCGGTACAGTTCAGTTATACTATTTTTTCGTTTATTGCAACTCAAAAGTCGCAACAAACTTTTTATTAAAAAACGCACACATCTTTAAAAAATTGTTGATTGCCGCAACTTATTGCACTACATTCAATTTAGTTACAATTCTAGCTGCAAAAATTTAAAACAAGTTATTTTCACGCAATCTATATATATGTGTTCTGAAAAGTAATTGTTGTCAAGTTAAGAAGCAAATGCAATTTGTTACAAAAATCAAAGTAAAACATTGGGACATAGGAAAACCTACTTTACTTGATTACTTTATAAAACCTATTGTTTTATAAACTATTGTTAACAAAACTTAAAGATCAAACGTTCTTTTTTCAAAAATCTGTTAATCAGTGCGTGTCGCGAAGTTGTTTCGGCAGCATCTTCTATCAAAGTACCTTCACATTCTATTAACAGTCTAACTAATATCTTCATTGACCGATATGTATCGAAGATAAACAACAACTCTGTTAATATAATATGTAGCTTTTTCAATAATAATTACTTAAAAGAACATCTCTGCAATATTTCCCTTAGGATTCGGATTCCAATTTTCAAAATAAATTCGAGTCCTGGTGCAAAATCCCGATTTGTACTCTAAGCAACATAAATTATTTTTTTAGATATATTTTAATACTATATAAGTATTAAATTAATTTAATAAGTTAATGATCGATTACTTATTTTAAATATTAAAAGCACTGCACTTGTTAAGGCTTTTAATAAATAAAATAAATAATTAAACACTAATTAACTTAATACTTGCAGTATTAAATTTTTCTAAGAGTTGTTATTCGTTACAATAAAAAAAATGGGGTATTTTTTGTTTGCCCTCCTAATTTTGTCAATGGCGAGTGCAAACTATGGAAGTGTTAGAGTGAACTATATATATAATTGGACGCACGTTGACTTTGACTGGAAAAATCAAAAGCAGATGGAAGATGCAAAAAAATCTGGAATTTATGATCCTCATAAATGCGTGATAATTGATGGAACTAGAGCAAAAGGTAAGTTGTTGAGAAGTTAACTATTCAAAAAAATTGTAATAATTTTGTAAAGAAATATGAATACTTTTATTATTCGATAACAGTTTATAGTTGTAGTATTTAACTGCTACATAATCATATTACGTATCTATATAGGTTTTATATATATACTTGATGTGTGGTTAATGCAATGGATGACATTGCTGTTGCCATAAAATTCGCGAAATAAATATATCTTTTGGTAGTACATAAGTTCACAGGATAAAATTCTTATAGATGGTAGAGTATTTGTTACTGTGCCGAGAGAATTTGGCTTTTTTTCACCTGCTACCTTAGCAACAGTAACTAATAAAACAGGACCAGGAGGTCCAATTTTACGTCCGTATCCAGAGTGGAGTTGGCATAATAATGATACATGTACGTGCAATGGTATTACAAATGCTTACCGAGTGCAAGTAAGTGTTAATACTTTTCATCCAAGCAGTTGTCACATTTTACATTTATGTATTATTATTAAATGACCAACAATTTATTACATAATATTATGCACTATATATTCACGATGTCTTATAATATTATGCACTATATATTCACGATGTCTTATAATATTATCATTGTTTATGGGTAGATATTTGTTCTAAGTAAAGTGATAAGTGTACACTTTGAGACCATTGTCAAGAAAATATTCTTTGTAAAAATAACGATTTATTTAAAAGAAGAAAACTAAAATTGAGTAATTGGTTTTCCTAGCACTGAAAAGATATTTTTCTGCATGTGCGTACGTGAATAAACAATATAACTAGATGTGAATACAATCGCGATATACACGAAAAGAATAATTTTGCTGGAAGGTCTAAAAATATTGCTGAAAACAGATCTGAAAATGATTTCGTTGAACCATTGAAATAATTTTGCTGAAAATTAAAATTCATTGATAGAATATCAAAACATTTTACAGTAATGCTTATCATTTTTAAATTTTCAATAAAATTATTTTGATAGCTCAAAATTATTTCCATTTTATCCAGCAAAATCATTTTTCCATGGGTATCGCGATTGTATTCATGGTCTTAAAATTTACATTTATCACTTTACATAAATCAAATAATATTTACTTAACATTTTTACTGTATGTACGTATATACATATTCAAGTTATGTACCATAAATTATTTAAATTAAATAAATAAAACTTATTTCAAATATTTTATTCGTTCATATATCCGTAAAAACTTGCAAAATTTCAATTAGTTCATCACAAGCATTACATTTGTTCAAAATATAGTATTCTGAATCCTAGTTCTTTTATTTTTTAATTAAGAATAAAATTAAAATAAATTCGATTTGCTTATTATTTGACTTCCCTATGATAAACTTTTATAATGTTCTTTGAAGTAGTATAAATTATTTTTTTTAGTACTCATATTAATGACTTTTCTAAAATGTGTGATAAGTACATTTCAAGTATATTATCAAGAAAGTATTATTTATTAAAGATAATTGTCAAACTTATTAAAAGTAGGCTGCAGGCTAATACAGTAATTTTTAATTATTAATTACCCATTAACTTGCGAATTTTGCAAAATGATACAGGACTTTTCGATTCAGTTTAGTCTGCTCTATCTATATATCATGATATATCAATATATACCATGAGTTCTACCATGAACGGTGATACACCTATTACGAAAAACCCTGTATATAGTCAGCTTGATGACAATATATATAAAATAGAATTTTTACTTTCACCTCAGATTCAATGTAATCACATCTTCGTTCTGGATAACGGCAAAATTGGTTTAAATCAAACTTGTAATCCAAAACTATTGATCTTCGATTTAAAAGATGATAAGTTAGTTGAAACTATTTACATCCCGCTTAGTATCGCTACTAACCAAACGGGCTTTGGAGCACTGACAGTGCCTTATGTTTATATTAAAAATGGAAACTGCACGCAGTTTCTGGATAAAATTATTGTAAGTATGTCTTCTATTTTGTGATACCTTTAGTAGTACAGTAGTACAAATTTGTCTGTGCTAATATTATTTAGTTACACATTTATTAATGAATATATTTCGTATTTTGCATATTTAAGTAACTCTATATATACGAATATATGTATATATACATATAGATTATTATAGATAATTATGGCTGACGTGCGAGGTAACGGTTTAGTAGTGTATGACTCATCTACAAAGCGTATATGCAGAGTCGAATCTGATTATATGAAACCGACTGATACTTTGGTTACCATAGGAAACGTAACTTTTCCTTATGCAAACGGTCCGTTCAGTGTGACAGTTCTTAATGATGGCAAGTATCGTTTTATAATGTAACAAACATTATTTTAATCAGAGTTGGGAAGTAACGCGTTACTTATAATGCCGTTACCGTTTTCGTTACTTTTTTTTATCTGTAACGGTAACGGTAACGGTAACATCGTTACATTTTTGTAGTAATGGTAACAATTTTGTCGTTACTTTTTATACTTTTATTTTCTAATTTTATGATTTTACAATTTATTTTCTTATTTTATAATATTTTTAATTTAATTTTTGAAAAATATTTTCTATACTCCATATACCTCGTCTTATAAGCTATACATTCCATTACAGTTATTACCAGCATTGAAAATCTATAATTTACATTACGTATATATATTCTATAAATATTTAGCACTAACAGTGAATATTGGAATGCACTCTTAATAATGACATTAATGTTTAAAAACAATAAATTTAATATAACTTTCTATAAAAATAAATAATATAAAGAAAAACGTGCTCTATACATATACAGACTAGTTTAGATCGAGTTCCAAGTTTTAATATTTATTACTACATTTAATAATTATTATTTATCAAATAATATGAACTTAAAATGTAGTTAAACTTATTTTAAAATTACAAAAATGTGTAATGGAAAAAGTAACAAAACGTTATTTTTCAAGTAACAGTAAAAGTAATGTGTTACTTTTTAAAATCGAGCAACAGTAACGCGTTACTTCTTTAAGATAATATTCCCATCCTTGATTTTAATTATAATATACTGCTTAAAAAAATTAAAAGATCATTTTTCCTCAATAAATTTTTACTCATTTTTAAATTTTGACTACTTAGCGAATAATTAACGCAAAAAATAAGTCAAAAAAAGATTTTACAAAGCAAACTCTCTACTATAAGACGCTTTTGTTCAATTTTTAGATAATCAATTTAATACTTAAAGATGTAATCAGTTTTGTATGAAGTATTTGTATTTGACACATTTAAAATCTAGAAATTTGTGGTCTTCCACCGCCTAATAAAAAAAATTGGCAAACATAATCATTAACGTACCATTTTAAAGTAAGGACTTTGTTCTTTCAAATAAAAAAAAACTATCTTCTGCGCTGATTATTTATCGAGATATTGCAATTTAAAATAATTTCTGTTTTTTTTACGATACAACGTAACCGAATATGTATCACAGGGAGGTTTCTCGATCGAATTTTGCACATCGTGTGCATGCGTGCCTGCGTGCGTGCGTGCATGCGTGCGTGCGTGCGTGTGTGTGTGTGTGTGTGTGTGTGTGTGTGTGTGTGTGTGTGTGTGTGTGTGTGTGTGTGAAATTAAAACATGTAAAATTAAAAAAATTTTTTAATAGGAACTAAGTACCTAGAAATTGAACAAAAACGCTTTATATAATAGAAAGATTACCCTGTAAATCCTTTTTTGGTTTATTTTTTACGTTAATTATAATGTGTAATCAAAATTTAAAAATGGACAAAAATTTACTGAGAAAAAGTAATCTTCTAATTTTTTGAACAGTTATTTAGTACTATCACATTTAACGGGTATTAAGAATTTATTTTTAACATCTCATTTCCATTCATAATTTCCTTTGCTTGTTTAATACTAGTATTCATATATACGTTTACGCTGTGCGCACTAATAACTTAAACATAGAAAACTACCTTGCAAATAATCAATGACATTTCCTCGATTTCTATAATCTTTTTATATTTCTTTTAAATGTTCCAGATGTTTATTATGCTTCTATACAGAAAAAGGAAATCTATAAGATAAAAATAAAGACACTACTTGAATGTCCAAATAAAGAGAACGCTAATAAAGAAAATAAACTCGTAATTAAATTACCAAGCCATACAGGACACATCGCATCAGCGGGAAATTCAATATTTTATTGCGATAATCAAGCAATAGCTATTCTAGGCACGAATGTTAAGAAAGCTGGTAAAAACACGGTAAAATATCATATTGCAATTATTCTTTACATATTAATCAATGATAAATTATGTATTTCAAATTTTATTAACGATTGTTAAATACATGTATAATAATTGTTAGTACGACTTTATCGTTGTAAAATGATACATTAATTTTAAGGTGATGCTCGCACAAGACTTCGAAAAATTGCAAGGCATCCCTTCAATGAAAGTTTCAAATTATTGGAATCGGATAATGATCGTATCAAATAGATATCATCTTTTCGCTATTGGTAAAACAAATATAAATGAAACAAACTTCCGTTATTTTGAAATGGATTTAAGCAAAATACAGAAATTGATGAATTAGAATTATTCAAGCACTACTTGATTTTTGTATTTTGAACATATTTTAACAAATGTTTTTACATAATTTTATTATTAATATTATATACGTATGATTTAATTGTAAAGTATTTAAGCGTTATATATGTAAGATTTAAATTAAAACATTACATATGATATATATACTGGATGTCTCGTACTCAATGGTACAGCGATTATGTAGGCACTAGGCAGGTAGTGTGGACCAAACTGAACAAAAAAGTTCTCTACCATTTTGCGATCTTCGCAATAGTTATCGAGATACTAATCATTAAAAAAAAAGAAAAAATTATACATAATGGCCAAGTTTTTGCTTCGCTATGATTATATATTGATCATTTTAATAACTTTAAGTCTGTTTTTGTCTCTACTCTCTATGTCTATAATCAAATACTTGGTAATTTGTATGATCTCATATTTGTTTTTGGACAACTTTTATTTATTAAAATAATATTTTTGGTTTAGATAAGATGTACCTAATGTACGATACACTTGTATATACTTGGTGTAAATTTTTTTTTAATGATTAGTATTTCGATAACTATTGCGAAGATCGCTAAATGGTAGAGGTCTTTTTTGTTCAGTTTAGTCCACATAAACGCTGTACCATTGAATACAAGACACCCTGTGTATATATATATAAATATAATTATATGTAAAAATTATATGCATACATAATTCTATTATTACATTGCAAAAATTTAATATGCAAATTTAATTTTGTGAAAATTTAACAATTTGTGTATTATACGTACAGATAGCAATAATTAATAATTGATATACATATAATTATAAGTAAACTATTTCGAGTAGTTTAATTAATATTAAAATATTCAAAATAAAAAATATATTCTTGCAGATTATAATGATCTTACTTTCCTAAACTTTAGATTTAAAATAATTATAAAAATTATGTATTATATACATATATAAATGTGGTATCATAAAATATTTCTTCTTTATTACACATAATTTTCACAACTTTTGGATTTAAGGTAATTTTAATTATTTAATCCTGCAGTAAAATCAATATCAAATCATTAAAAAATTACATCAAATTATTTCATTATTATTATATCAAATCGTATTATCAGTTATTGATTTGATATATCAATTTGTAATGCCTATTTTAACATAGTACGGAGCGAAATATGTGTTTATCATAATGTCAAAGAAGTAAAAAATATACAAAAAAGTTTAGCTGCAAAGAACAAGCTTTCGGTAAATTAATTAATCAGTAATTAAATTAATCTCAAATTTCCAGTAAACAAATTGATAGCAAATTGTCTCCAAGTTGTTATCAAACTTGCTCAAATGTTGGAAATAAATCCGATGCCATCTGTGTCAGTAATAAGGAATAAATTTTTGCCAGCAAAACTAGCATTACATAATTAGACAGCAAATTAATAACAAAAACAGAGCAAGTTTTGCATAATGTTAATAACGCTTCTGACAACAAATTATGAGGTCACCATTATTGAAAAATGCGACTCCTATTCCCTTTTTAATTTCATTAGAAGGAATTATTTAAAACTGTTTTACTAATATATTTTACATTTTTTAATATATTTTAAAAATTAATATACACACGACAGATTTTAAACTGTTTTATTAATATTTTTTAACATTTAATATATTTTAAAAATTAATAAACACTTGACAGCAAAATTAAAGCATCACCTATTCTGATCCCTAAAAATATGCAAATTTCAAGAGAGTGTAACTTTGTAAAAAATGATCGTAATAAAATGTTCCATAAAGCATTCTACAGCTTAAAATCTCTACTTTTGAAATTCATCATTTATTAAACGACTTACTGATTTTTTCGAAATGAAGCTTCACGGATGCAAATAGAGATACATCAAATTTAAGATTTTTTCCTAACTTTGCGAAATTCCATACGGCGTAAATTAAAAATCGCATACAAATACGACATTGCATACATCATTCGAAAGCGTAAATCTTTATTTTTAATTTGCGCATTTGGAGAGCGTGGTGTGATTTTTTTAACAGAGTTATTTAACATTAAAACAAAAATAGTCATATATGCTTCAACATTGAATATCTCGGTAACAAAAAAATCGCCCAACGAATGTGCAAATTAAAAGTAAAGCATACGTTTTCAAATGCTTTAAACTGCATTTGTATGCGATTTTTAATTCATGTCGAGGAGTTTTTGCAAAATTCGTAACAAATTGTGTCACATTTTTATTTCTGTATAGTTCCGTAAAAGATCAGTAAAACGTTCTTTAAAATCGATATAAATGTAAAAAGTAAAGACTAGTTGTAAAATGCTTTTGATAAATTTTATTGTAATTTTTATTTTTTTATATGATATTACATTTTTCTTTGAAGAGTAGAATAGGGAATCCTACTAAAAGTGACTAAAACTCTTTTTAAAAAAAAGAAAAAGATTACGCCAAGTATATAAAAAAGTATCGTACGTTACATCCTTCCTAAACCAAAAATATTATTTTAACAAATAAAAATTGTCGAAAAACAAATATGATCGAGATCATACAAGTTGCCAAGTATTTGATTAGACATAGAAAAAAAATTTCTTTTTAATAAACCGTTTAACCGCATCCAAAAGTACATGCAGCAAAAGTTTAATGCCATATATTGTCTTTCCAAATATTTTTAAGTTTCATAAAATAGGCTTAAAGTGACTAAAATGACCAATGGGATCACAATGAAGCAAAAACTTGGCGTGCCCGCTTTTTATATATATCTTATCAATTAAATATTAATGCAATCGGGGCCGAGTTTTTGCTTCATTGTGATCCCATTGGTCATTTTAGTCACTTTAAGTCTATTTTATGAAACTTAAAAATATTTGGAAAGACAATGGCATTAAACTTTTGCTGCATGTGTACTTTTGGATGCGGTTAAACGGTTTATTAAAAAGAAATTTTTGTTTCTATGTCTAATCAAATACTTGGCAACTTGTATGATCTCATATTTGTTTTTTGACAATTTTTATTTGTTAAAATAATATTTTTATTTTAACTTATTTTAATTTTAATTTTATTTGTTAAAATAATACTCGGTCTATTATATGTGTATATCACACGGACACGAGAACTTATATCATTGCGCTTGCGCAGACAGAGAATCAAATGTGGGCACCAGTTTACCTCGTCGCACCGTCCCGCAACTGGCTTTCCCCTCACAACTCTATGCTCTGTCCCCTTATATTCCTATGTCCATGGACATAAAGTACGTTGAGAAGCAATAACAAGCCTTTATTTCGCGAGAAAAAAACCGAAGAATTACTGTTTTATTTCTCTCTTTTCTTTAATTAAATTATCTTAATATTCTTGAATATTACAAATCATTAGCATTTTGTCATCATGCAATATGTAGTAGAAAAATTAAAAACGTATATACTAATTTTTAAATATATATTTTTATACATATATAAAAAGATATATTTCGTAGAATACGAATACAAAATATTTTACACTCTTCCACAGAGGAATCAGTTTTTTACTTTCTTAGAATCCTTTTCCTTCGGTGATTTGGGACTAAAAGTAATATCTAAATTTGAAGACTTTGCGATATTCATCATCAATGCCAGTTTGACGGACGTCTCGGCGGCTTGAGCGAAATCATCCACGGAAATTACTTTCAGCTTGGCATCCAGTATCAATTGCTTAGCTTTAACCACATTGGTACCCTGCGAAGAAACAGGCGGATTACTTAAAGAGAAAATGAAGTGCTACGTAAAGGGCTAATGTAATACTTGAAAATAATCACTTGTAATCGCGCGATTATGGGCACCTTCAGATCCAGTTGTTTCGTAGCGTCTATGATCCCTTGAGCGATTATGTCACATTTCATTATACCGCCGAAAATATTTACCAAAATAGCTTCCACCTAGAATACCACCATTGATAAATCCATCGTTTTAATTCTATCAATTTTAAAATCACTATAAATTGTTAAATAATAAGGAAATAAAGTTAATGTTGCAGTACACCTAATTATTGCTCATCTTTGGCCTGTTTATACATTGTTATGTCTGTAATTTTAATTTTTATAATTACATTCGGGTCTGAAGACAGTATCTTGAAGCCCTCCGTCACCGTCTCGACTGTGGCGGTGCCGCCGACGTCTAAGAAATTTGCCGGTGCACCGCCGTACAACTTTATGATGTCCATGGTGGCCATTGCTAGCCCGGCCCCGTTCACCATACAACCGATATTCCCGTCGAGAGCGATGTAATTTAAGTTGTACTTCTCCGCCGCGACCTCCTTCGGGTCCATCTGGGTCGTGTCCTTCAATGCGAACAGCTCCTTCTGCCGGAAATCGGCGCTGTCGTCGAACTTGCATTTGCAATCCAACGCGTAATCTGCGGCAACAAGACGCAGAATATATATAACTATTATTCAGTCCTATTATCGAAAGGCACACTCTCTTGCTTCTCATATCTTATCTTATTCAATTTGCAGCGTACATTCGCCACAGATGTCTTCCGCAAATGGATTGATCTCGAGCAGCAGCGCGTCCTTCTCCACGAATAATTTGTAGAGACTGGAGACGACGAGCGACGCGATCTCCTTGCTGTGCCCCGTGAGTCCCAGTTTATCGACGATGCTGCTCGCCTGCGCGGACGTTAATCCTTCGTTCACGTTGATCGGTACATACGCCACGGCCTCGGGATTCGCGGCGGCGACATCCTCGATGTTTACCCCGCCTTGCTTGGAAACGATTATTACGGCCCCCTTGTAAAGCATAAATGACAGCGAATTATTTTGCTGAATCGAGCTATTTCTGATGGAAGAGCCACGACAAGTTCCCCACTTACAGTTCCCGGCTATATTATTAGACATATAGATTTTTTCATAGATTCATTTCATAGATTTTTCATTTCATTTTTCATTTCATAGATTTTTCATAGATTCATTTCATAGCTTCTTAAGGGGTTACACCACCTTGAGCGCCTAAAAATCATAGGTAACTTTGGAAATTTTTTTTAGGAAAACAATAAAAGTAATACAAAATTTGTTTTAAGGCTTTAATAATACATGTCTTTAGAAGTA